TATCACCCTTTACTTAGAAGATACTGTGTTTTTATCAGATATTTAATTTAATTTTTCACATTTCTACAATTATCAGTTAATGAACTGAACCCATGGTGGAGGTTGGATCTCGAAACGAGTCAATGCGTCGAGACAATTCGAATTTGGCCTACTGCACATGGTAAGACTATGTAGTCTAGTCCATATGGATATTTTAACATAATGCAAATGTTGTGTAAACATTATTCAGCATTGTACAAACATTTAAAGTTCTTCTTAAACAAGTTTATCTTGATTGATCAATCCGGCGAACTACTTTGCTGCATTCATTTTGATTTCGAACCAGTAACATTTCTTGCATCTACCATTAACATACAAGAAAAAGGTAGTGAGATATCAGCTTTCAACCCCCTGCTCCGTTTGAGACTGGCCAAATGTTATCCTCATTCATGAACTTTTGAGAGGCAGAAAGTGAAAGCACGTTTTAAAAGTCAGAGATGTCTATCAACATTGCTCCACAGTCTTACTTTAATTTGGTTTTCAGGCTCTAACTATGTTTAAGTATGTGCCACTTGCAAGCCTGTGCTTTTTCAACCGTTTTAGACCAGAAACGTGACAGCCTCTCCACAAATGAGAATGGCTAAATTGTCTTGGTTTTATAAAGAAAAAAAATAAGGCACGAAGTTGAATCAATTCTTTTCACTGATAAACATCAAGATGCGGTATGTCGTAGATGACAATGTCACCAAGATGTCATGACATTGGCCCAATGTAAATCTGTTTTTAAGCTGTAAAGGTCATTCCTAATCTAAATTACAAAATAACTTCGATTATCCAGAGGCCACTTTGCAGCGTGCATCTCTACGTGCAGGTCTGAGTGATAATCATACGAGTAATGTGAAGTGTAAAACCAGTAAACCCCAACCTTCACCCAACGACTTTACGGAGTTTACCTGTCATCCGCCTGTACTTGCCCGCTATGTCAGCGTCGATATACCCGGATTGGCAAGCCTTGGACTGTGCGAGGTGACAGTAGCTGCGTGTGATTTCAATCAAAAAGGTAAACTTGACACTAATTAATTTTATTCACCTGCTAGTAAACCAAGGAGTGGTTATCAGCTGTCCATAACCGAAAATCCTGATTGTCGTCAATTAAGGTGTTGCTCTGTGAACGGACATCAGTCCGCCATTGTTCATTGTTCCATTATTTTCATTTGTTTTATTTTTAAATTAATACAGTTTGTCAGAAACACACAAACAAGTACAAAGATTTGTTTGTTTTACCTTTGCAGTTAACTCTGTGGATTTCACTGTGGTTGTCAACCCTGCTCTCATTGGTCCAACTGGTGATGACGATTCGGTCATCGCAGTGTACAGAGAACCAGACGATTTTGCCTCCAATGTCTCATTTGGTCGCCAAGTCACAACTGGACTTCCATCAGGTTCAGGCGAGATAGTGGATTCATCGTTGGGATGTACAGTGAGATTGCTTCGATTGCCAGAGGAAGGAGGTCTGAACAGGACGGGTGTGTTCTACGCAGAGGTGACCAAGAATAACGTAATCACCAGGATACAGAGCGTTGTTCTACCAAACGATGGTAATACGTAGACACGTAACGCTGCACATTCTATTAATTTACTTGTTATTCATTACAATTTACATCAAAAATTCGGGAGCGTGTGGCCCATCGCGGTGAGATCTTTTACATTCTAGTAAAAACTCATTAGGAACTAATAGCAACGTTGTAGGGCCTTCATGGCAAAGGGTTGAAGTGGCTTCAAATTGAAGTAACAGTAATTTAACAACCTAGTAAGGACAGCAAACACGTAGGAAGTCTTGTCGTATCAGCATCGCTATGGAACTCCATATCTGCCGTGGCGCGTCGCCCGTCGTGCATCGACCATCAAATAGGTTGCATAGGACCTGCAAAAGCCGGGGTTTAACAAATGACAAAATGATGATTCCATTCACTTCTAAAGAACTTTTCCCAATAAGGCAAGTACAAATCCCACCTGCAATACTAGTCCCATAATTAATGCCAATAATGCTAGACTACCCCTGCCCCTTGACAAGAAAATGTCGCCTCTCTGCGAATTCAACCAAGTTTTTTTTTGGGGGGGGGAGGGGAAAACATTTTCAACCAAAATGTTCAGGCCAACTTATCCACAGTCTAATTCTAATCTGCATACTGTAAAAACGTGCCGACTTGCTTTCATCAAATTCTGCACGACGGACGACGGGTGAGGCACGACGGCAGATATAGAATTCCATAGCATCGCAGTGGGATCTTTATAGATGTGGTTCAAGCGATCGGGAAGATTTTTATGAAAACAGATGGGGCGCACTGTTTTAGCCCATAGGGTAAATGCTGGGAAACGTGACTGCAGCTTGCTACACAACTTAATGGGAATCCTGACACTGCCAAGATGCAATCAGATCGTCTATGATGTAAAACACTTGGATATTTTGACCTCAAAAGATCACATTCAAATGGTTATTCATCGTTGCTGCTTGTATCGCGTCTGCAGTACGCATATAGCAAAACATAATACGTAACGTGCCAGTAACGCATCAACAACCTAGTGAGATCTTGATAGAACTATTTCCCCAAATTTTCTTGGTTCCATCACGTCCAAGTCATGTTTCAAAGAAATATATAGGACGTACATGGGTCTTCCTGGTCGTCATTAGGCTAATGTGTAAGTATATAATGTAAACCCAGAGGTCTAATCATCCTGGTAAGAAAGCGTCCCCCCTTTGTTTAACATTGGGATTATTTGGGACAGCTATATTAACATGAACTAGCCTCTGAAAATAAACTTACATCCGTCGGGTTTTGGAGTCTTTTTGT